ATTTTCTCAGCCACGAAATATTCTTGTTTAAAGAAATGTGACCTTCCCTGCAATCGAATATCTCTGTGGTGTGGATGTGGCAAGAAACCGACGAGAGAAAAACCATTGTGCGTTTGTTGCGCAGGGATGATGATGCTAAGTCTGTAATGTGAGTCGGATGGAAGGGAAGCAAACAGAAGCGTCGACATTTGTTTTAATGAATACTGACTTTATTTGGTCACTTTTTAATACAGCGCATAATACAGGGAATCTCAAATAGCCCTAAAGATTTTGACTGGACATCCTCTCTTTCATTGCGGTGCCATGCAACAAACAAAACCTAACCAACCTCTGTGCCCAAATGTACAGTTCCTAGAATTTTCTTCTACGCACTTCGTATTAAATATTATTATATTTAATATAATATAATATAATACAGATGGAATGATTGTTGGAATGACTATTAGATTACTGCATACTTTTATCAATCTGTGAGCTGTTTTAAGAAAAACGAATGCACTTTCCTATTTCCCCTATTTTTTAATAATATTTGGAATCCATGCGCTCTATTTGCAGCCGCTCCATTCTTTCTGCTAGATTTATCCAAGGAGGCTGAAAATAATTCGAATTTAACGTGATATCGGACTGGATATTTTGTTCCAGCCTTAGCATGGAGTCTAATCTTTGTGAATTGGCATGTTTTGTTGTGGTTTGAAATAATGTTTTCCAAGTTTTTTGGGGTGGTGGTGGTGGTGGATGATGGGAATATTTATAAAGCATCATGGTTTATTATGCATTAAAAATGTCCACCTGGTTTTATGGGCAAATTGTTCTGTCCTGTTTCTATCGACATGAATTGTATTTGAAAACAATTCCATCTCTCAAGACTTCTACTTTAAACAGGAGAGCCATTTAAAGTTAACTCTATGGATCTATTTCCAAATATTGTTTTTCAATTTCTCAGAACTTGTTGTGTGTCTTCAAGTCATTTCTAACTTATGGTATTTGAACCTAATGTGGGTTTTCGCCACATAATTTGTTCAGAAATGGTTTGACCTTGCCTTCCTCTAAAGCCGAGAGAGTGTGACTTGCTCAAGGCTACCCAGTGGGTTTCCACAGCTGAGCGGGAATTCGAACCCTGTTCTCCAGAATCAAAGTCCAATGCTCAGACCACTATGCCACGCTGTCTCTTCTCTATAAATGTCATCCTTAAATTAATCGGTTTGAAAGCAGTGCATTACAAGGAAGGAACTTAAGTGCACTGAGTTAATTTATTTTTGAAAAACGAGTCACCGCTCAAACATACAAAGTGATTTTTTTGGGGGTGTGTGTGTAAGGAATCATATTTTCTAGCTACTTTACCAAGCAAAGACCGTTTTAAAGAATTTTTAGAGTGTTTTGCAAGTATTTTCCCCCAAATTTATCTGATTGTCTTATAATTTTGAAGTTTTTTTCCCCTCCCCAGAACAATCTAAAGTAACTAGCGGTAATCCAACATTTTAATTAGTAATTTAATTAGCCTTCCTGTGAAAAGTGCAAGACTTAGGGCCTTTACAGACTGCCAGAAATAGTGCAAATTGAGTCCACTTTAACTACCCTGGCTCAGTGCTAGGGAATTATGGGAATTGTATTTTTTTCTGACACATTGAGCCTTCTCTGTCAGAGAGCTCTGGTGCCACAATAAACTACAGTTCCCATGATTCCCTAGCACTGAGTCAGAGCAGTTAAAGTGGACTCAATTTGCACTATTTCTGGCAATCTGCAAAGGCCCTAAGGCAGGCTGAAATGGGGAGATATAGTACTGTAGAGGACTTGGAATTGTGCCCAGAAATGCAATGGGATATTTAGTACAGTGGGCCCTTGGTATCCGCTAGGGTTTGGTTCCAAGATCCTACCAAAATCCATGGATGCTCAAGTCCCATTAAATGCAATGCCATAGTAAAATGGTGTCCCTTCTATAAAATAGCAAAATCAAGGTTTGCTTTTTGGAATTTATATGTTCTTAAAATAATTTCACAACAAATGGATGCTTGAATCCATGGCTATGGAGATGGTTGTTGTTTGTTGCTATGTGACCTCAAATTGTTATTATTGTGTTTAATAATTATTAAATAAATGACGTATCATATTATTATTGTATATAAAATATTATTAAAGTGTAATTATTATTATTATAAATTATGAATTAAATATTAATATA